GCACAATACCTAATACTGATTGGACTAGTGATCTAATAAGGCCGCTTATTGATTGGACCAGTGATCCAATAAGGCAGCTAATTATTTTGGTATTTTTTATCAAGAAAAAGTAGCATAAAATAATTTAGCATGATTCTCCTCATCTCCATTCTAGCCCAGTGTTGTTGGCTTATTCGCTGGTGGCATCTTTCATTCAATGCTCTGCTAGTGATTCCCTCATTCAACTGTTCAGAAGAAATTTAACAGATAACTCATATGTGCTTCTCTAGAACACTGTGTCTGGAGCTGAACTGAGTCTAGTGATTCACTTATTAATTAATTGCCTTTTCTACCACCTCATTGCAGTCCTGCTCTAAATGTCATTAAAACATTAAATACAGCAAGTAAGCATGAAAATATTGTTTTCTGTGAGGAAAGATAGATATGCAACATTGAATATTATTGGTCTAGTTCATATAATAAAATGCAACATTGAATATTATTGGTCTAGTTCATATAATAGTTGCAGCTGCACATTTATCTTTGTCAAATTAGAAATATCTAAGGAACAAACTGAGAGCCAGTTTGGTATAGTGGTTAAGGTACCAGGCTAGAAACCAGGAGACCATGAATTTTAGTACCACCTTCAACACAAATCCAGCTGAGTGACCTGGGCCAGTGACCTTCTCTCAGCTCTAAGAAGGAGGCAGTTGCAAATCACTTCTGAAAAACATTGCCGACCTGTATTTTTAAAAAAAATCATGTGGGGAATCCAACCTCTTTTAATTTTTCTACATTTTCCCCAAAAAGAGGACGTTGGTCCCATTTACAGTCCTTGCTTAAGGATGATCATGTTATCTGGTGTCTTCTCTCATTTCTCATGTATGTGGTCTTTACTACATCTTTGCGACATACCACCTTTCCTGGAGCTTCATATGAACTCTGCATCTTCCTTCTGTTAACCAAATTTACTTTTCACTTCCTTTAGATCAGGGGTAGGCAACCTTGGCTCTTTTATGACTCGTGGATTTCAACTCTCAGAATTCCCGAGCCAGCTGTGCTGTGCTCAGGAATTCTGGGAGTTGAAGTCCACGAGTCATAAAAGAGCCAAGGTTGCCTACCCCTACTTCAGATCTTCTGAACTAACAGACAATGTTGCAGTCCTGATCCATTGCCTGAGCAGTTAAAATAGATAGGGATCTCTGTGCAACAATTTAGCTAGTGTCTTAGAAGATACACACTTGGTCTTAGTTTACTGCAGAAACCAATCAGAGTTTGATCTACTGCTTAGTGCTTGGAAGTGAAACCGCCACTGAAAATCAGACATTATGGGATACTGGGAAATAAACACACACATATATGTGCGAAAGAGTATGTTACAAATCAGTTATATACTGTTGCCATGGATACATCCATATAAAGATCCCAGGAAAACTCAAAGGTTTGACTTTTGCTAATTAATTTTCTCCGATTAGAGTCATGTAGTACAGCTCTCTTCACTCTCTGCTAATTCAGAATGCAAGAGATTGAAAGCTTCTACCAGAAAGGAAAAATGATCATGCTGGCTACCTATTTCTTGGTGCAGTCTTCACTTTCAAATGCCCTTGCTTGCTTTATCTCCTTTTTAAAGAGATGCCTCCTCTAAGCTCATTCAAAGTTCATTTTTTAATGATTCCCTATTATCCACTTTCCTTAGGTTAACTCCTCCTCCATTAACACTGAAAGTACTCTCTCAATACAACTGTATTGGATATATTTAATTACCTGCATTGATTGGAGCTTTCTGACTAAACCTAGCTGCAAGCAGTAGCATATTGAAAAATGGCAGCTGGCAGCCTCAAGCAGTTCTCTGTATTAGATGAAGCCAACAGGATGTCATCTCTCTCAAGCTGTTAGGATGGAGCTTTTCTGCACTGATTATCCAGTGCTTTTGTTGCTTTGGAACAATTTGGGTGTGACTTACAGTTGTCCTTTCTAAATGATCGGAGCCTTATCCAAACGTTTACCTTCAGTTCCATCACTGACCTGTATTTAGCTCCATGTGCTGATCCATTTCATCCTGGTCCATCCACGCTGGGACCTTTCATGATGCTGAAAAGCCCCTTCCTTCCTTCCTTCCTTCCTTCCTTCCTTCCTTCCTTCCTTCCTTCCTTCCTTCCTTCCTTCCTTTCCTTCCTTCTTTCCTTCCTTCCTTCCTTCCTTCTTTCTTTCTTTCTTTCTTTCTTTCTTTCTTTCTTTCTTTCTTTCTTTCTTTCTTTCTTTCTTTCTTTCTATGACTAGGTTCTGTAGCTCAATAATTCTTTGGTATTTGGGATTTCTAGAAGAAGATTTCTGTCCTTTAAGGATGGGCTTGCTATATTTGATTTTTCTTTGATGTATGGAAGAGAAGGATTAAAGTTTCTATCATGGTAGTTAAATGAAGGTTCCATATCTAGAGATATCTTGGATTATTCATTACCCATTCTTGGGTATTAAATATCAGTGAAAGTTCAACATCTTCCTGCTTGTACAGAAACTTCCAGAAATGGAATATTGTGGCTGGCAAAATACCTTAATAGAAATATTTTAAATTTTTGCCTAGAATATATGCATATTGCTTAGAATATATGCATATTTCAGGGTTCAATTTCAATTGTTTATTGTATAGGAATGAAAAATTTATGGGAATCGGAAGAAGCTAGGAGCTACGGTCAGCACAGAGAAAGATTTCCGACAAGGCAAAATACATAGCTCCAAAAAGCATTTTTGAAATGCTGCAATCTGCCTTCTTGAAATTGCTTATTTTATTGATTTCATATACTTGTAAACCAATTACATTCTGCAGCTTTAGAGAACTTGGGAGAAAGTGGATTATTTAGCCTCCATTCAATACTGTTTCACACCTGGGTAGAGGACCAAATGGCTGGGTGTAGCATATTCATCCTTGGACTTCGTGACTCTCAGCATCCTTTGATACCATCAACTATGGTAACCTTCTGTACCAGCTTTGGGGGTTGAGAGTGAACAGCCTTATGCTGGGTCTCCTCCTTCCGCCAGAGTCAGTTCTAGTTAGTATTGATAGGGTAGGGTTCTGGTTCTTAGCCGCTGCTTTGCAGGGTCCCTCAGGACTTGGTGCTTTCCCCAGTCCCGTTTAACATCTACATGAAGCTGCTGTCTGTGAAGGTTTTATCTCAGTGTCTAGAGGTTGTAGGAATTTGGAAGGGGAAAAACAGGCTTCAGCTCAACCCTAACAAGACTTAAGTGGCTTTGGGCCAGGGCTGCACTGCCCTAAGCAGAACTGATGTGCAATCTGAGGATCCTTCTGGACTTGCAGCTCCCTTTCAGTGATCAGATGACAGACAAGGCCAGGTGGGTTTTTGTACAAACTTCATCTTATACGTTGGCTGTTCCCTTTTCTGGATCAGGAAGCTCTGCTTACAGTGACTCACACCTTAGTCACCTGCTGGGTGGATTACTGCAATGCACTCCATTTGAAAAGCATCTGGAAGTTACAGCTGCTGCCGAATGCAGTGATTCAGGCCATTATGAATGCATTTTAATGTGTGCACATATTACACTTCTGTCAATGAGCTGCCTTGGTTGGAGATGTGCTTCCAGGTGCAATTCAAGATTTTGGTTGCCAACTAGAAAGCTGTTCATGGCATAGGGCCAAGCTATTTTGCAGACCTCTTGTTCAAAGTTGTTTCTACCCATCCTATTAGATTTGGCAGAAGAGGCATTCTGTGGGTCCCATCAGTGAAAGAATGTCATCAAGAAGCAGCTTGTTTGGTTGCTGCCACTGCCTTATGGAACAGAGTTCCCTCTGAGACTAGATTGGCCCTTGGAAGGCCCTTAAGGCATGGTTATGTACCAGGCATGGGGGTCAGAGTGCCAGCTGAGAGTTTGATGTGCTGTTTTGGGGATTGGTTTGGCTTCTCAGCTGTTGTATGTGCTGTTGCATTTTACACTGTGTTATAAACTGGGTGGCCTTATCAATAGAATAAACTGAGAAATGAATAAATTCAAAAGCAGTATGTGCAAAATAATGTTTTGTACATTTTGTACAAACATAAAATCACAAGAAGTTGGAATCCTATCATGAGAACAATAAATTTTAGCAAGCACTAAAAGTTTTCAACCAGCAGATTTCAACTTGTCTCCCAAGAAATAAGCACAAGAAGCTTTCTTCTACCATGTTCAGGTCATAGTCCATTCCCCTCACTTATTTCAGCTTGGAGTTTTTCTAAACCTACTTGGAGGTGCTGCAGATAGAATTTGGGATCTTTTGCATCTAAAGCATGCGCTTTCTAGCTGATGCACAGCTGCTTGGATCAGGAGCTTTCTTTGCTATTAGTCAAAGATGAGTTTGGTTCTATCACAAGAAAGCATATTTATTTACTTTATTTACTGACACTCAGAAATTTTTTCTAATGCATGGCTTACACTTTGGAGAGGATCATATAAGGAGGCAAACATCAAGTACTCTGGTATCAAGATGTTTAGGATTAGGACAATTGTAATTGGGTTCATTCATTACACCAAGCAATAGTTTCTTTAGCCAGGGTTTATTGAATAAGCCACAATTAGCTTGGTTCAGACGTTTTGAGGCCCAGCTTCTGCAAAATGCATCTTGTTAATCCAGTAAGGAAATGCTTTGAATGGAACTAAAAAAAAAAAAGTAATTTCTTTACAAATTGCACCATACATATAATAATGTGCCTATATAATAGCAAAGTAGCTATAAATACTAGACACAGTGTTTCTCAACCTTGACAATTTTAAGGCATGTGGACTTCAACTCCCAGAATTCCACAGCCAGCATTGCTGGCTGTGGAATTCTGGGAGTTGAAGTCCACATGCCTTAAAATTGTCAAGGTTGAGAAACACTGTTACCTAGAGCTTTATATGATATTTCAATTTAATTTAAAAATACTAATTTGAAAGGAATGGAAATCTGTTTTGCTCTATTTTGCTTCATTCTCCAGGACCTGATGGCTGAAATACTTTGTTCTGCTCACTTCCATGCAACCTTTTCCTTGAACATGAGCAGCGTGAGGGGGTATCACATGTTCCTTGCCTTCTGCCTTATTCTGCTCAACTTTGGCAGCCTGCAATGCCTTGTTTTAAGACAAGTGGACGAAAGGCATGTAAGACAACTGCATCTGGCATCACCAGCAGGGAACAGCTTAGCAAACACAAATGCATCAAATCCAGAGGGTAACTTAAGCCCATCCATGAATATATCCAGTGCTCCTGCATCTGAAAGCCTTTATGGAACCTCAGTGGAGCCATCCGGGAGGTCATTAAACAGAGCCACAACCGTAAAAACAACCTTGCCAACCATTCTGCATGTTCACAATCCCTTGGAGCACCCCAATATTGATGCTTTTGCCAGCACAAGTCTGGAGATTGCTGCAGAAAGCAAAAGGCAAATCAGTCTCAAAGGGCCCGATGAAAAACGTGATAAATATGGGACACAGGAAGCTTTGACTGCCACCATTGTGACAATTCCAGATCTTCTTGTTGAAGATGATACACTTAGCAGCTCTGCAAAAGAAACAGTGGATGGAGGTGGGGGAGAAGGAAATTTGGATGGGGATTTGTTTACACCAGGCACCCATGTTGACCCTTCAGACAATCCCCAGGTAACTATCCCCAAAGTAATAAATAGTTTTCCCGCTACATCATCAAGCAACCTCTTCAAAAATCCATTTCTTCCAACGAGCCCACCAGTTGATTTGACGAAAGGATCTGATGGAAGTAGCTTCCCAACAATCTGGATGGGCACAGATGCTGCTCCGGAACCCAGGATGTTGCCAGCAGATGCCTCCTTAAATTTGGAAGGGGAATACTCAGAGAACCAAGGGCACTTCAAAGGCATCTTAAGCACTACCATGATGGCCCCTGCAGGCTTGCTGCTAAGTGATGAGTGGGATGATACCAAATTAGAGCCTTCCAGCCAGGCGAAAGCTATGCATCCTCTGAAGATAAATCAACCTCAAATAGTGCAACCAACAGGACATGAGGACGATGACGTGAAAAAGGACCTGTCACCAAGATTATTGGCAACCACGGCAAAAGGAAGCAAAGATAATCAGAATGGATCAGGCCAGATACCTGTGCAGGTGGAGGAGTCAGCCAATACAAGCTTGAATCTTGGTTATACCATTGATCCATCTGAGAAGGTTGGAGCTCAGTCTGAAAGCCCAGTGGAAAATGTAGATCCAACAGTGATCATCAGGTCTAGATTGTTTTCTGAGACTGTAACTACAACAGATGCAACCAAATCAGATGTCTTCCAAACCTTAAGACACCAATTAAAAGGTAATTCTTTTTTTTATTATTTGCATTGATCAGTGCATGTCGTTTAAAAATAATTTAAGTGTATGAACCACTGTTTGGTTTATAGTGTGTATTGTGATAGTGCTATATATGATCTTTCCTTTTTCTAGGTTCCTGGTCTACCTAAAATATTCAGCAGGGATTTAATCTGTAAAAGTCCTATTATATCTTTTCCCTGGCATTGTTTCAGATGGGTAGCTGGCAGTTGAGAGATTGCTTAGGCTCCCTTCTTTCTCCTCCTAATAAGCTTTTTCCACAAGCTTCCAAATGAAGGCAGAGTAGAGTCTCGGAGTAGCTCAGAATGGTTGAGCATGGCTTCACCCTGACCCAGTTGCCCTTTTGACTTGTATGGTTTCTTTGGTCACCCACATGGTCCATTCTTTTTTTTTTTTTATAGAACACTTTTTATTAAGTTTTTCAATTTTTACAACAAAGTTTTTAGGAAGCAACGTGGTGATCGGGTAATCAATTATCCAAAAAACCAAAACATTTATATATAGCTCAGGTTAACTCGTTAAAGAATCCCTCTCTAATTCCTACAAATCATATACCATATTCAAATTAATAATAAAATTCAATCAAATTTCAATCAAAAATCAAATTTCTAATAAAATTCAATCAATCAATAAAATTATCGATAACCATTTAACTATATAAATCCCAATTCTGTATTTAAACTTTACAAAATTCCAGGTACCATATTTTAATTTAACCATACATAGGCCTAATATTTATGCTTTGGGTATCCCCAATTTCCCTCTTTTCATAACATAATATTACAAAATAATTATCATACATAGAATAAACATATTAATTCAAAAAATACAGTCTTGCTCTATTTCACATATTTATTCTACTAAGCAAAAGTTTTTCTTCTCGGTTATAGGTCTGAGCCTTAAACCTTAAATCAGTCTGTGTCTAAACAGCCTTTGTGATCCATTACATACAATTTTAAAACTCATTTTTAAGTCTTATTCTGGCTTTCTTTTTGTGCCAAGCAGGTTTCCATAACACGGCTTCTATACCAAGAAATAAGTCTCTCTTTATTCCTCATAGTATCATTTGGATAAAAAAAAAAAACATCCAATTTTCTGTTTAGGAAAGCTGATTCCTTTGTAATTAATCCCTTGTTGCTTTAGAGATTCAGGTCTCAATGTTTGATTCTGCTGAGTAAGACACTCAGTTAGGTCCAATTTTGTAGTTAGTAGTTGATTTGTACATCAATTCCTGTCACTTTTGAAATTGTATATAGTTTAGTTAAAGTTACTTTTTGTTCATCAAAAATCTCAATAGGTTGTATATAAAATGATTTAAAATCCTCTTTGGTGTTACTTAATTCCTCTTCTGTTGTTTTTTGGTCTGTAAGATGATCAGGTGAAATCTGGGATTCCGTTTGTAAATTTAAAATAAGGTTTCTGCTTTTTATTTCTGTAGTAATCTCTTTTATTTTAGCGCATACTTGCTCAGTGGCTTCATGAATTTTTTCCAGTATAAGTTTACAGTTAAGTTGTAAATAGGGTTTCTCCATTTCCATAATGGCTAAAAGCAATCCTTTTATCTTTTAGTGAGGGCTATATTTGATAGCAGTTACCCAATGTCCACCCCCACAATTGCAGCTTTCAACTTCTTTATCTTTTCCCTTTTGTTATGATTTGAAGGTCAAAACCAACCTCAGCATCAAACAAGAAAAGGCAGTTGTAGTTTTAAATTTCACCACAAGGTGTTCTTAGTAGATTATACAATCTTTTCCCAGACACCCAAAACAACATTAAAAAAATTAAAAAAATAATATTCTCCACATATGAACTAGGTCAAATAATGAAGTTCAATAATAAGATTTTTTTTGGGACCCCAAAGTAAATAGAAGTAAAAATAGTCAATAAAATTTAGTTATTCTTTCGTTTTATTCAAAGCTTCTCTTCCCAAATTAACGAACGCCGCTCTTTTGAAGCAGGGAAATAATTCCAAAAAGGCTTTTTACAGGGAAAAAAAAGGAAAAAATAGGATAAAGAGAGGAAGGGAAAGGTCTCACCCGGATCATCCATGGTGGTTCTTTATGCTTAGATGTTCTTGTGACTTTCAGCTGGTGCGGCTGTGTGATCGGCCATCTTACTGGGCGATCTTTGCTTCGTCAGCCCTAAGGAGTAACTCGAGCCGCAGGAGGAGCTGCCACCCTCCCACAGTCAACAAGAAGCCTCCTCATCGGTGGTCGCCCCTCCAGGGCGACTTTCAACCCTCTTCAGGGTCTACCGGTGAAAGAGAATTGGCCGGCAAAGAGACGACTCTCTTCGTTCGGCTGGTAACATCGCGAACCGGAACCGGAAGTCCACATGGTCCATTCTTGATTGCTTTTGCCTGATGGGCCAAATTTGTTATGTTACATTCCAGAAGGCCTCTCTTCCCCTTCACTATACTTCTCTTTTCTACTCTATGGCAAAGCAAAATCACTACTTTAGATTTCCTTCACCTAGTACAGTGATGGCGAACCTTTTAGAGACCAAGTGCCCAAACTGCAACCCCAAACCCACTTAGGTATTGCTCGGTGCCGGGTGGGCATGGCCCATGGAGTGGGCATGGCCACTGGGCGGTCATGGCTATGGTGGTCATGGCTGACTGGGTGGGTGTGGCCAGGGTGGGCGTGGCCACCTCTGTGTTGCTTCTGGGGAGGGATGCCTGTGGGGGCCGGGCAGGGTGGGGGGAGATCCAGGGGGTCTCTCTGGAGGGTGGGGCGGTGGGCAGGAGGCTCATCCAGCAGGGTGAGGCGAGGCAAGGGAGGGGGCAGGCCAGGGGTGCCATTGCCGTGGGGCAAGGCAAGGCGAGGCAGAGGCTGGTTGCAGACAAAGGGAGGGTCCAATAATGAAGAGGAAGAGGGTTTAAGCAAGCTTAGCAACCGGAGTGGGGATCCCCTCCAAAACAAACGTGCTTTGTGGGTAATCTCAAAGCACGACAGAAGAGACCAAAACCTGTTGCAACCACCCAGCAGATGGGAGCGGAATAAAATCAAACAGCTTCCCCCCACCAATCCTCAACAGAAATGCTCATGACAACGAAAGCCTTGGGCAGGGGGAAGAGCATGGGCAGGAGGGTGTCTTGCTCAACTGATGGCTTAGGGGGGGAGGGGGCAGCTACACCCCTCCCAAACTCTGCCCTCTCACAAAAGCAGGATGAAAACTCCAAAAAGCGACAAAGAAAAAAAGTTAAAACAGAAGAGTGTCCCAGAACATCTGTATTAGCAGATGCAACTGATATAAAATCTGGATGAAGAATGGTCAATAAAGCAGTTTTGGTTGTCTATTTTATCTTTCCTAATAAGCTGTAACCAATTTTCTCTCTTCACTTTGCAAAACCTGTGGGTCCCACGCCATTCCACATACCTGCAAGAAAGCAGCTGCAATCAGAGTACACTAACTGTAACTTTGAAATGTGGCACCACTGATTTAACTGATGTCACACTGCAAGTACAGTTGGAGTTTACAGTACTGGTTTATCCAGCATGTGTTATTTATTTTATCTTTCTTCTCCTTATACAAAACTACACCTTCTATACACAGAACGGAGAGTTATTGTTGGTTTCTTGCCCAGTTTTAGTTTCCCTCTGCGTCTGATTAGCCACTGGAGTAAAATAATGCCAAAATTTGTTTTTATCAAGTATTCTTATCCCAGTTTGGGGGGTGGGGGGAGAGACAGAAATGCTTTCTGCTATTCGAGGGTGTGTATTTCAATACCATTTCCAAAGTCGAATTCATCGACATATAGATTATTCCTTTTTTCAGAAGTCCTAACCACAGACTTAAGCCCAACAGAAAACAGGACGTTGGGATCAAAGGAAACCAGGTTTATTCAGGTACACTCTGGCATGCGAGCTCAAAGCAGTTGCAAACAAAGTCAGTGCTGGGAGCAACCGCCTCCCAGCACGCTAAATAGACGGATTCTGCCCAGGCCCGCCCCCACCCACCTAACCAGCATTCGGAACGATAATCGTGAGCACCCAGCTCACAGCAGCTGGCCCCTGCCCCCAGTGGTCAGCCTGGCTTGGGCTCTGGTCCACGGCATCAGCCTTCAGCCTGTCGTGGGTCTGGTCTGTGGCAGCAAGGCAGCAAAGCAAGCGAGGGCTGATTTCAAAGTCCCCGCTATTTCTCTGCATCGAACAGCTGTTCAATGGAGTGCCGAGCAGCTGAGCCGGCAAAACCCAGAAGCCCGCAACCGCCAGCCAGCCAGCTCCTCGACGATCGCTGTGCTTCCCCCCAAGCAGGAACGGGGGAGGGCTGTCGCCGCCAGCCTCCGCCGTCGCTCCGGATGCACCCGTACCTCTCCCCCCCCGGTTAGTGGCAAGCTCGTGAGACTTGACACCTTTACACTGGTTAAACCTCCCCCCCCACTTTTTTCCCCAATTTAGGGACCTCCACTCACAAAAGAATAAAAGAATAGCCCATCCTTTTCCAACCCACACTCCAGATATTGCACATTTCCACGTGATTTTGGAACAGAAGTCGTTTGCTCACTTCTTAGCAATGCCCACCAAACTTTCCGTGCCGCCTTCCCCCCTCCACTGCCTTTCCTAAAATCTTAAGGGGTTTCGATCATCTTGCATGTTTTACTCACCGCCTAAACTCTGCGATTCTCGCCCCTGCAAAATTTTGCTGCAGGAGGCGGGAGTCCCTCCATGCAGAAAGGAAGGAGCTCCCCTCTGAAGCTGGAGGGCTAACTTTGGCTGCCCCTGACTCAGAGGTTTCCCTTCCAACGTGCGCTTAATTCGGCCCCCTGAGAGAAGCCGGGCCTCCCCTTCCCCAGCTGCCCATGCCAAAGTGCCCCTTAGCTAAAGGGAGACAGGAAGGTGGATGGGAGCAGCCATTCTTGCGAAGGCACCACAAACCCAAGTGAAGAGAACTCAGTGCTTTGCTGGGTTTCGTCCTGTTGCCGCACTAAAACCGGGGGAGTGCCAAAACTCACTTGCAAGTCCAGGGCACTGGAGTTTCCCAGTG